TTCTCTAACTGTTCGTGCGGTTCAGGGTCCCCAGCCCTTCCTCCGTGCCTGGGGGCTCCTCTCCAAGACCCGGCTCTGGCTGGTTCATGTCTCCTGGGTGCGTGACCCGGCCTGCCAGCACCTGTGGACAAGCGGCAGTGGAACTAGGGGGCTCCTCGCGGTGCCTGCATTCGGGCCCAGTGCAGGGACTTAGTGTCCCCGGCACAACCAGTCGGGGTGCTGTACTGGACCAGGTATGCTCCTGGCCCTGCATGGGCAGGGTCCGTGGGAGACCAGAAGGCTCCTCTGCTTCTGACGATGGGGGGCTGGGGACACAGGTTCCCACGGGAGATGGAGGCAAGGGCGGCCTCTGAGCTGCCATCCGGGTGTAGGTCCCCAAGGCCCCCACTAGCTCGGAGCCCTGGCCCCCTGGGGTTTTCAAGACTCTCAGAGAACTGGGAGGATTCTCTCCCAAGAACCAGAAATGCGGGATGGGTGGTAGGCGACCCAGGTCAGGCACCCGATCGCGGGCGGCAGTGCTGGGGTGGAGTGGCCTCCCTGGGCCTTGAGGCCTGGCAGCCAGGCTTCCCCGAATGCCAACAGGACAGGCGCAAAGATTGCTGGGTCGGCTGAGCCTGCTGTGGGGCTTGAATGTTTTTCACCTATGGTGGTCCAGACGTGGAGAGGACACCAGGCTCCTTCCTGGGTGGACAGCGGAGACCTGGGAAAGCAGGAAGGGCCTCAACAATGGGGTTGGGAGGGGTGGAGGGACAGACCTGCACCGTGGTGTAGCTGAAGGGTCCAGCCCAGGGCTCTCAAGAACACTGGGCCCTCTGTGGTGAGCTGTTGGGCAGGGAGTGCTGGTGACACTGCTCCTCCCCCTGGGCTCCCGTCAGACAGGGACTGGGGTGGCATCCAGGGTGGGCAGAGCCATCAGGACAGGACCACAGCAATCCAGCCCTTCGAACCATGATCTTGGGACCTAAAGAGGCCTACCTGCAGCTCCGGCTTGTAGGTGTTGGGAGGGTATGAGGGCTGGGCTGAGAGCGCATGCCCTGGGGTGGTAGCTTGCTGCCTTCAGGAACCCCTTCCTGCTCCCCCACCACTAGCCACTCCTCCTCACCTGCCCTCAGGTCTGCCCTGGAGGACTCCTCAGTTCCTGCTCCCCACCCCATGGTCTCTCAGGCTCTCTCCTTGACCCCCATACCCTGTGGATCAGCGTCTTTCTTCCTGGGGGCAGGAGGGGCTCCCTGGGCCGGGAGGGGGTGCTTGGCCCTTCATGAGCATGGTCTATCATCGCAAGGTCCCACTGCAGACGTGCTGGCTCCTCCCAAACGGGAGGCCGGGGGAACTCTGCCCCCGGTCTCAAAGCCTGGGCTGCCCAGAACTTACATGGAGTGGGAGGATGCCCCTGAAGTGAGAAGGGAACACTTGCCACTCGATGGGAACTGAATGTCCCCACAAAGATCTGGAAAATAGGAAAAGACCCAGAAAACCTGGAATCCTACCCCTGTGGATGGGGGCGGGGCTGGTACTTTCACTTGGAATGAAATCTATCAAGTCCTTGAATAGGAACCTGGGTGCTGGCTTCCTCCTAGGCTAACCTGCACATCAGTCTTACGGGATAGATCTTATTCTATTTACAAATGGAGGAACAAAACACAGAGAGGTTCACTAATATGCCCAAGGTCATCCAGCTTGCAATTAAATGAATTAGGACACAGAGGTACGTGGAGGATGAGACTCACTGAGTGACAGCAGTTAGTTGCTTTTTTGGGCATCAACAAATCTCTAAAATGGATGTGTATTTTTTATAAGTAGTAACATAATGATAATAATAATTATTTTATAATTAAAAGGTTGGAGCTGTTTCCATAAGAGTATGCGGGGCTGGCAGAAGCTGCCTCTAAATTCGGGCCTCCAGGGAGGGTGAGTAAGATTCACCCTTCAAGGCTCTCCCGAGGCTAGACCCCACACAGGGTCATCCCCAAGCATCTCAGGCTGTCCTGGGCACTCGGTGCTCTCTTAATGTGCAGCAGCCTCCCTGCTGGGCGAACACACATTCACCCCATGCCCTGCAGCAGTAGGAGCAGATGCCATGGATGGCATTCCCTGCTCGGTCCGGTGGCCCACACGGTGACAGGTGGGTGGACACAGCATGTCTGTGACAGTGCCTGGAACCCTTCACAGATCCAATTCTGCTTGAGCTAAAAAGGGAAGGGTCTCAGCTCAAACCTCTGAGTCCATCTCCCATAAGTCACCTTTCAATCTACTACGACCTTGTCACCCTCTGTTCAATTCCCCGCCCCCTCTGCCCATTCATAGGGCTCCTTGGGAGGGAGCTGACCCCTGAGCTTGGGGCCATAGCCCATCCAGCGGGATCTCCCTTTGCCCCCATCTGGTGACCAGTCTTCCTCTCCCCTCCCTTCCCGTGCTGCTCTCCAACTTAGAAGGTCCTTGCTGTACCCTCTTCTCTATCTGCCAAACTCCTACACATCCTTCAAGGGCCGTCTTGCATGTCTCCTCCTGACTGTGCCTTCCCCTGAGGTGCTCTCTCCCCTCCCTGTGCCTCATCACGTTGTAGACACATGGCAGTGTGCCCCTGTACTACCACCTCAGCAGGAGCTGACCCCAGAAACAGCTCTGGGGACAGCAGGTTAGAGCATTAAACAGACGTGGTCAGATTGCTGGGGCACACATTGCCATTTCGAGGCTGAGAGTCCCTGGGCACGTGACCCCCCTCTCTGTGCCTCTGTTCGTCTTTAAAGTGAAGGTGACAGTGGTGCCTGCCCTCACAGTGACTTTTAGGAGGAATTTGAGGGACCAAGAACACCTGTCCCAGGATGGGCACAGGGTGGGTGCTGGGTAGGGCAGCTGGGGAAAATGGGACAAGGGAGCAGAGGGGCCCGGGAAGCTGGGCAGGGCAGCTGGGAAGCACAGGAGGAATTTCTGCCCTGGCCACAGTCAGCCCTCAGCCCCCTGAGCTGGCCAGGAGGACACGTCTCTGCAGTGGGAACTTGCCCCCAGTGAGATGAGTGGGCTGGCGTGCTCATCCCCTGGTGACATGGTTCCCAGGTTGTGGGGGGCTGCGGGGTCTGGGTGGCCAGCCGGGCGGACTCCACTGCCGTCAAGCTCTGGGTTTCATTTCAGGTTGTCATCTCCCCGCAGCCTCCTCTCCCTCTCCAGGGCTTGGGAACTCTCAGCTCAGACACGGTTATCACTGGGAAAGAAAACGATCAGATTTTTCAGGAGATTAGGGGGCGTCAGGGCCCTGAGCTAGCACCCCGACCTCTCCTGGGAATCTCATCCACAGCCCTATGGATGGAGCCTCTCACACCCACTCCAGGAGTCTTGGACACCCCTGTCCTCGCAACAGCCCAGGCAGAGCCCCTCCTCGGAACAGCCCCTGCTGGCACCTAGCAGGTCTCCTTGCGAGCTGGGCCCTGGGACCCTGACTGAGACCTGTCTGGGGCTTTGAACTCAGGCTGACGCAGCCCTCTGTCCAGCCTGGGGAGGAAGGAGCACCCTATTGGGTTATCTGTAGGAGAGGGGCTGGGCTGGCCCTCCCCCAACCCTGGGGTCCCTTTGTCCATTCCTGCAGGTGGGGGTTCAGGGAACTGTGGGAAGGGCCCCAGGCCAGTGCAGGAGGCCCAGGTGGCTTTGCCCGGCCTGGGCAGGTATGCTCTGCTGCCTGTGGGTGGAGCCTGAGGTTGGAGGGCAGTGATGGACTGATGATAGATGGGTAATGGACAGGTGTTTCAGGTAAGCCTCCTGCCCCCAGTAAGGAGAAGCCCTTCATTGCCTCTCCCCGCCTTCACCCTCTGCCCCTCCCCCAGCTCCACCCCTGCAGCCTGAGGACCCTGGACATCTGCTGATTCTGCTGGACCTCACAGCTGCCTCAGGACCTCGCTGCCCCTTGGTCCGAAGAGCAGGGGTTCAGAGCTTCTCCAACACATGGAATTCCGTTTACCTAAAGTTCAAAAACTGCAGAAGGAGGCAGGGAGATGGGCATCCTTGCGTGGTGGTCCTGACAGTGTGGGACAGGGTGGCCACATGACATCAAGATTCTTTGTGGACATGAAGTGGGTGCCCCATCTGTGGGAACATCTGAGTTCAACACCAAGGCCAGCCTCAGGCTCATGGCCCCCGGCTGGTACCATCTAACTGCTCCCAGGGCTGGAGAGGGCATTGGGCTGACTCCGGGACAGTAACTGACTGGTGGTGCCCTGTCTCTGTCTGGGCCCTTGAGCCCCGGCTGCTCTATCATCATCGTGACCCCACCCGATCATTCCTGAGCGTCCCCATGCCCCTGCTCGGCAACTGGATGCCTTAACTCCTTGCATGCTCATGGTCATCTCAGGAGGT